ACCCTAACCATTACTGGTCCATAGTTAACCCTAACCATTACTGGTCCATAGTTAACCCTAACCATTACTGGTCCATAGTTAACACTAACCTGAACCAGAACTTAATTAACACCATACTTCTAAACCTAACTAGTAGAGCTGCAAATAAAGTGAGGACACTGAAGAGGTCCTCACTTTACTTCAAAGACCTCACTTTGATAGTAACTATGGTGCAAATGGTCCTCACTTTGTAGTAGAAACAAGAACACACACACACACAAAAAAAAAAATTTGCTCAGAGGCATTGTAGCATCACATCATCTCGCTTTAATTTTTTTCCCCAGTTTGAGCACAGCCAACAAGGTTACCATGGCAATGGGTTCATTAGAGGAGCAAGCTGCTTGTTGCCATGGAGACATCCCCGTGTTCCCTGCGAGTTGTGGTACCGAGAAGCTGATGTCTTTATGTGTGTGTGTGTGAAAGAGAGAGAGAGAGAGAGAGAAGTGTGTGTTTTACAGTAGCGTGGTGAAACAGAGTGGGTGGGGGGTGCACAAAAGATGAGGATGAGGGCGTGGCCTGTTTGTATTAGATTAAGTCTCAAACCACACAGGAAAACACACAACAGCCTCCACACAGACCCACACAGTTTAATGTCACCATCATCATCATCATCATCATCAAGCCTTTGATGTTCACATCAAACACGCTGCTGTTTACATGTTCCCCCCGTGCACACGTGCATTTAACTCTAAGCTGTCCCCAGGTGTAGGTGTGAGTGTGAACGTTTGTGTGTCCCTGTGGACTGAGACGTGTCCAGGGTGTCCCCAAAGACAGGACCCGGCTCCCCACCCCCCAGAAAGGAGAAGCGGGTAAAGAAAGTGGAAGGAAGATGCTGTAAAAACTGTGGAATTAGTGAGAGTCCTGCAGTGTGAGGGCGAGCAGCGCCCTCTGCTGGACAAAGATATCATCACACAAACTGAGGAAAACTTCAAAAAAAGACACAAAATATGCTTAATAAGTTAAAAAATCTAAAGATATAAATGAAGAATCTTTCTTTAATCAATGTGTTATGTTTTTATTTATTTATTTATTTATCGCTTTCCATGTCCGGCAGGTTTGTTTAAAATTAACCTGATCATTTGTGACCCATCATATCGAAATAAGAATTAAGTCAAATTGAGTAAAAAAGACCTAATACATTTTCAGATCTTTAAATATCTGTATGAAGCTTGGATATTTTTGCTCTCTTTAAACCAGCAAGCTATGCAAATTGTAGCCTTTAGCTACATTTTCATACCTGGATCATCCTGGTATCATTAGCTCATCCGGAAACATGACAATTTGTCTTGTTGGTTACAAAAATACATTACAGTTTGGTCTGAATCCTAATTTTATGTAACTTTATTGAGTAATTTATGATGACAATATAAAGAGGAAACCTCAAATAGTATTTGTATATTAAGTTTTCCCTGTTGGAAAGAAACAAAAACATTGCTAGCTCACCGGGAAAAATTCTAATTTTTAAGGCGTTTTTCCTCAAAATCGGGTTTTTTGTTGCAAGTGCTTAAAAAAATTTTTAGGATTATATTTCAGACAGTTCATTCAATTGATAAGGTTCATTATATTTTCACAAACTACATTTTTTTTGCACTCGTTGAAATCAAAACCATGTATCTGCCTGTTTCTCCACTTTTAGCCTTAATCCTGGTGTCGATGTGACGGGTCACATACAAGCATCAACATGTGCTCCTGCTTTAAGCTTCATCCTCGCAGCATCTTTACATTCCTGTTCTCCAGCTGGCAGCTTGGAAGCTGCTCGTGCATTTTTAGACGCACTCGGTCCGACACACGACGGTGATGTTTCAGGAAACGTGGTTGTTTTTTGAGCAGCTTTAACGTGGCTCTCTGGTTTACTTCAGGGCGGCGTTAATCCCTCTGTCATCTCGCGTGTTCTTTCTTCACTAATCACCATGAAAATAAAATAAAATGAAATAAAGTAAATAAATAAATTTCTGCCTTGCCTCCTGAAGCCATGATCACACTTTCCCACTCACAGACGCCCACTCGCCCTGTCCATGCTGCTCTTTATCTTCCCCTGCCTCTCTCCATCTGATTGTCTCCGTCCTCCTTCCATCTTTTCTGGAGCAGCTCCAGAACTTTATCTGTGCAGCTCCTGCCCTCATCTTCCTCCCTGTGGCTTTTTTTTTTTCTGGAGGCCAAGTGCGAGGGGGGGGGGGGGTCTATAGGGAAATAAAGCCCCATGTTGTCATTTTAACGTCTTCGTTCCCTCTGTCTTATATCTTTATCTGTGAAACACAGACACCAGCTCTTTTCAAAAGGAAACAGTTTTTCTCTAAAGGTCCAGAATGGTTCTGGTGACAGCCATGCTGGTTTTCCTTCAGCTCCTCCTTTCCTCCACAGCGCTGCAGAGCCAAAGGTCCTCACTGCTCCTCAGCGTCATGTCAGCAGGTTTGTCTTTGTGTTCCTCACTGGCAACGTGTTTCCAGGGCTAAACCCTGCCTGGAGGCTGCTTGAATAACCTCAGCATTAGCAGGAATTTGACTCACACAGCAGAGACGGGGGGTGAGGATGGGGGGGAGTAATGGGGGGGGGGGGGAACTCCATTTGTTTCATGCTGTTTGATGCTCTCAGGAGCCAAACGCCAACTTTGCAGCACGAGTTTGACAATCCAATAAAGCTGCAGACGGCACAGTCCTCGTCTCCTGCTGAGAGCGAATCAGACAAACAACTTCAGGTTCGACTGTTGCTGTGAACACGAGCCAGTTAACGGAGCGCTGAATTTTTACACCGACAACCAGCCGAAGACGAGGAACTGGCTGAATAAATTTTAAAAAGCAGCTAAAAATGATGGATCTCATGGAGAATAAAAATATTCACTGTCTGTATGAAGCTTGGATCCGTTGTTCTCCTTAAACCAGCTAGCTATGCTCACTGTATCCTTTAGCTACTGTTCTGCTCACTGTAGCCTTTAGCTACTGTTCTGCTCAGTGTAGCCTTTAGCTACTGTTCTGCTCACTGTAGCCTTTAGCTACTGTTCCGTTCACTGTAGCCTTTAGCTACTGTTCTGTTCACTGTAGCCTTTAACTACTGTTCTGTTCACTGTAGCCTTTAGATACGGTTCTGTTCACTGTAGCCTTTAACTA